AAGTCTATATAAACATGGGTCGAAAAATGCGTGGCTTCCGAAATTTACTTTTTAAAATAGTTTTCTTTAAATGTTTCGAACAATATTTGATTTATAACAGGGAAAATTGGTATGCAAGGGATTTTGGTACGACAAAACGAACCATGGGCATAGGTTTACTGTAGCCGCTAGAGGGCGCTCTCTACTGCACCTGTAGTGTATTAAAATGACCGAAAATTTCTTAGTGCAATTTTTTGCTTTTTGTATAAAAAAACTGATTCTTCGCACTTTTCTGCATAAAAAAGCTCTCCTGTGAGTTTTCGTTATAGTTAGCCGTTTTTGATTTTTAAGGTTCGATGCATTTTTAATTATTTATGGGAAAATAATATTTTTTTTTTACATTTTCGATTTGGGATTACAAGTAATTAAGATGATCGTTTAGATTGTGTTTTTAAACACATCGGTCCATAAAACGTTACTTAAAAACTCTATTATTATCAGTTCTATCAAGAATCCACTGACAAAATGTGATTCTTCGTTCTCCGTCCCCTGGCTGTAGTCCTTGCACAGGTTGCAAATGGTAAGGACGTCTATGGTCATTTCTAAGAACACGGTGAACATGGCTTGCTGAAATTCCCAAGGCACCAGAAACTCTCACTTGTAGTCGGATCTCTATCAAACTTACGCAGAATCATACGGGTAAATCTGCGCTGACGAACATTTATGTTTTGATCCCCTTGGAGATTTCCAAAACCATTTTCAATTATTTGGCGATGCACTCTTACAAATACTGAGCGAGAAGGATGTCGTCTGTTTGGAAATCGTCGAGCTTATTCTCTGGCTGCTTCTGCTGCGTTTCCATTTACAAAGCCATACACAAAATGAATATCCGCTAACTCTTGATTGGAGAATAAAAATGGCATTTTTATAAAAAAAAGTGCGAAGAATCAGTTTTTTTATTCAAAAAGTAAAAAACTGCACCAAGAACAAATTTTCGGTCATTTTAATACATTACAGGTACAGTAGAGAGCGCCCTCTAGCGGCTACAGTAAAACTATGCCCATGGTTCGTTTTGCCGTACCAAAAATCCCTTATATACCAATTTTCACTGTTATACATCAAATATTGTTCGAAATATTTAAAAAAAACTATTTTAGAAAGTAAATTTAAACACCCTGTATTTCGGAAGCCACGCATTTTTCGACCCATGTTTATATAGACTTTATGCATTAATTTTAAAAGTTCTATCGAATTTTAAAGTTATGCAACAATAAAGTGAAACACCCTCTATTCATACATCATACACCAAATGAGTACTTACAAAATAATGAACCAAAAAAATGCACTAATGACACACAACCTGACTATCAACCGTATCATAGGCACTGTACCGAAGCACAAACTAGGAAATATGCACGTACAGTACTTATTACAATATGAGCCTAATAGCAAAACGACAAGTTCATTAAACCTGCTGATTTCTATATAACTGACCGGAAAAGGTTTCTAAAAAGAATGTATTTTTGCGGCAATACTGTTTCAATAAAATGCTAGTTCAGCTCAAATGTTGATATTTGTTTATTTCCACCGACAAATCGTTGTGTCCGAGATACTACAGCTATTAACTTACAATGTACAGGGTGAGCCATAATAAAATTCACTTTTGAAAACATTGTAAATGAGGCTGAAAAGGAGATGTTTGCTTTCTGTCTCCTGCAGTGTTGCCGAACCTACCGATTTTTCGGCATTTCTACCGAAATGAGATATTGAGCCGTATTCATAAAAGAGAAGCATATCCTCGGAAGCATAAGGTAAAAGTATAAGGTCTTGCTTCGGAGAAAAAGGTAGAAGTATAAGCATATCCTTGTTTTCATATTCATAAAGATTACCTTATACTCGCGAGGATATCCTCCAAGAAGAAGTAAAAGGTTGACTGGTATTTGTATCTTGAGGGACATGTCCTGACTTGTTCCAGCTTGTAGTTGTCGTGGGAGTTCGTTCACTCAGCATCACTGACAGTTGTACTCCAGAGCTTACACAGACCGTTCCGTATTTTTACTGGATACAGTTTTTTATCAAATTAATAAGCATGTCATCCTCAAATGATGAGGAAACTATAGAAAATAATGGCAACGACCTGCAGTTCATCGCAGATAAAATTGACATTGCTCCCATTATTTTGCAAAAGTGACAAGTTCCAAAAATAAAAATGAGAAAGGACGATGCCTTGAAGAAGATGTTGAAAACATACGAATCAACATTCGGTAAATCATTAGATACTGAAGGCTTATTAAAAAAAATCAAGATTGAAGAAAAGACAGATCTTTGAAAGCTATGGAGGAAGGTGACTGTAATCCTTCAGTTGGGAAAATTAGAGGTGCCATTCAGGTTGGTAGTGTTCAAGAAGAAGGAAGTGAACTATATACCGAGCGCAGTGAGCAAACAGTTAGTATACTAAGGTACATATAAATCCGAACACCCAGTTTAAATGGTTTTATTTTAATAAAAGTTGGTAAATGTATTTATCTTACTGTAAATAACAAGTGAAAAAATTTTCAGCCTTATCAGTTGGACATTCCGGTTTTTATACTGCTTTTTTTAATTCACTAACGCTCTAAAAATGAATATTTCAGCCGCAACGTTGGCGGATTTTGGTTCTTGACATCCTTTACGATCGGTTACGATGCCTAGAGTACGGAGACCTGTACGATTTAGTCAACTTGGTGAGTTTGATAGGGGCCGTATAGTGGGACTTCGGGAAGCTGGACTTTCTTTTCGGGCAATTGCAGTTAGAGTGCAAAGAAGTGTAGATACTGTGGTTAGGTGTTGTCAGGCATGGCTTCGAGAATGCCGTACGCAAAGAGCAAGGGGCACTGGACGCCGCCGTAGAACAACAGACCGTGAAGATCGCCGCCTAAGATTATTGCCCTTAAGGGACCGTTTCTCCACTACCAGGTCCATTGCAAATGAATGGTTTACAGAACACGAAAGACCTATTGGCATGCGAAGTGTTTACCGACGAATGAGAAGTTTTGGCTTGTTTTCATACCGGCCACACTGGGTCCTCCCTTTAACTCGAGAACACCGACGTAATCGCCTTGAGTGGTGCAGACAACGGTCACTCTGGGAACAGGAATGGAACAGTATTGTCTTTAGTGACGAGTCTCGATTTTGTTTAGACATGCACGATGGTCGTGCCAGGGTTAGAAGGCGACGTGGTGAAAGGAGGAATCCACAGTTTTTTGTTGAAGGACATGTTCATCACACTGTTGGAGTTATGGTTTGGGGTGCTATAGCTTATGGTTCCAGGTCACCTTGAATCTTCATCAGAGGTAACATGAACGCGCAGCGTTATATCCACGAAGTTCTAGAACCCCATCTTTTACCCTATCTTGACACCCTGGCAGATCCAACTTTCCAACAAGATAATGCCCGACCACATGTTGCAAGAGTCACAATAGACTTCTTTCAACATAATGATGTCACATTGTTACCATGGCCACCAAGATCTCCCGATTTATCCCCAATTGAGCACGTGTGGGATATGATGGGTAGGAGATTGCTCAATTTGGAACGTCCTCCTCAGACTCTAGAAGCACTTCGAGAGGAGTTGGTGGTTGCCTGGAATGAGATACCACAGGAGGACATTGACCACCTGATCAGAAGCATGCCTAGGCGCGTTGGAGTATGCGTAGCACATCAGGGTGCATCCACACATTATTAAAGGTCAAAGGGCTTTAAAGCAGTGCAATCATTTTGAAATTTTTATCATTTACTTATTATGCTTCATTAAGTACTTATACAAAATTTTATTAAAATAAAACCATTTAAACTGGGTGTTCGGATTTATATGTCACTTAGTATACATGAAAGTACTTCTCCTCGAGTTTCCTCATTCTCAACTAAAAATCTGTCCGCAAGCCGTTGTAAATTTGATTCGTCGAACCGATATAATTTTTTGAAGTCACAACCAAGTAAAGGTAAACCAGGTTTGTACGTTTTAACATCTCTAACATCCACAATTGCCGCCATAATCGCTTGACCACCTTTCGTTATGAAGTTGAGTCTGCTACTGACCAAACAGAATTTTTGAAGGATTTGCTTCCTATGCCAAGTATAAGGTGAAGATTATGAATATCCTTTTACTTATGTCACTGCTTTGAAGGATATGCTTATACTCAAAAAGCAAAAGCATTTACTTCAAATTATTATAAAGACCATCTGGAGGATTTCCTTCAAAATTTGCAAGTACAAGAAAATCCTTTGTTTTATGAATACGGCTCATTAAGGGAGATAACGAAAACGTCTTCATATTCCACGATTTTTTTTAAACAAATCTAGATTTTGCACCGAAAAAGACCCCTGAAAAAATGAATTATGTATAGGTCGTAGTCTATGTAATTTTATAGCCTATTCCAATCATACATGTGCGTACACGTACACGGTACCCATGGGTCTTTACGCCTTAGGCTTTCGTGGTAGTTGAAGCATAAAAAAACTTAGGGTCGTAGATCGTTTTGTCATCGACCACTGACATCTCGGTAACCAGTGATCGAACAACGAATGTAAAGGTATTTCCGAAAACAGAAGTGGCCTGCATGGAGGCTCTGGATAGTCCGGCAGCAAGGCAGCGTTAGTGTGCGTACCAGCAATGTTGCCAGATTACACGATTAATCGTGTAATTACACGATTTCGGTCCTTTTTACACGATTACACGAATCAAGTGCCAATTCTCACGATTTTTGATTCTATAAAAAAAATAATTACTTTTACTTATTTAAAATGCGAACAGCACCCAAATCAATGTATCAACTCCACTTATTCATGTTTATATAGGAAAGTTTTACGCTTTCACGCGGTCTATCAATTGACGGCACTGACGATTAATTCGGGGAATCCCGTAGAGCCGGTTCATGTTGATCACGTCGTACGTTGTCAGTTTGCCTTCACTACTTGTTTTGACTTGTGCATTTTGCTTACTGATACTTCCATCTAGTATTTTATTAGAAGTCGTATTTAAAATGTGTAATACTTCTGATAGTGAGAGTGATGTGCCGATGCATGAAATAAAAGATGTTAGCAGTGTTAGTACGCCTAAAAAAACTAAAAAGTGCGGATTATACGCAGAAATACAAAAGAGACTGGGAAAAAGAGTGCAAGTGGCTCCAGTCAAGTAAGAAAGGTCCAACTTAAGCGTGGTATGATAGTTTGTTGTAAGATTTTGTAACTTTAAATAATTTAAGTTTATAATATTTTAGGTGCAAATTCTGCAGTTCCGATATCCTTATTGCGAGGGGCAAAGGAGAAATTAAAAAGCATACCACCACTGCGAAACACATAAAGTCAATATCAACCATCAAATCGCAACCATCTGTGGCGTCAGTGTTTGGCAAAAAATCCAAAAATATTGACGAAAAGGCAACAGTGGGTGTTTTGCGTCTTGCTGGTGTTATAGCGGAGCAATAAGATTATGGAACATATTCCGAATTTAGTTAAAAGTATTTGCCCAGATTCCGAAATTACGCAAGCTATCAAATGTAGTCGTACAAAAATGACTAACGTGATAAGAAATGTTACCGGCGATGAGGAAAAAATGCAACTAATAGAAATACTGTGTACAAATAAATTTAGTTTAATAGGAGATGAATCTACAGATAGGTCCTGCTCGAAGCATTTGTGCCTTGTGGCCCGAGTTGTGCTTAATTTTGAAATAAAAGACTATTTTCTAACCCTTTTATCAGTTAAGGAGGCAACGGGGGCTTTTTAAGTTAGTGTCTTGCGTTTTAATAGTGTTTTCGTTTCTGATATTTGCAATAAAGTTTATTTATTGAATATGGTATTTTGATATCGTGTCTATATACATATTATTTAAATTAAATTTAGCAGTTTTCGGCTTTACACGATTTTACACGATTTTCGGCAGAAGAGTTTCATGAATTTCTTTTAACTTCAACTGGCAACACTGCGTACCAGGGCACGCTGAGATAAAGAATAGTGATATGGCGGACGCTCTTGCAAGAGCAGGATCAGCGGGCAAGCTTATTGGTCCTGAGCCAGCCCTAGGGATGCCCGTCAGGGGGAAAATGGAGAAGTGGATTGCTAGACAACACTCTCAGAAGTGGAGAAGCATCTCTAGACGTATCCGTCAGGTAGGGATGCCCACGATGTATCGATGTATCGAAAGTATCGATATTTTTGTTTCGATTTTCGATGATTTTGCATCGATATTTTTGTTCCGATGTATCGAATGTATCGAAGTACTGCCTATAGATGTATCTAATCGCTTCACTATATCTAACAAAAAAAAAGGAACATTGGCAACAATGCTTTGATGCCCTGCGTTCGGGGAATCCCATTTTTTTAACCAACACTGCAGAATTGTGCCGACTTGTAAACAGTTTTTTAGTGTTGTTTTGAAGGAGCTAATGTAACGTTATTTTCGAACGGTGCTGTTAAATGTTCGTATTTGTGTCTGTTTTACATTGAAATAACTAATAATTACATACCCTACAAGTAAGTACTTATTTGTCTTTACAAATTTGAATCATGTTGCGAACGCTTGTCGCAAACTTATTTTCAATCAAAATTAGCATCGTATAAAACAAAAAACATTTTTATCTTTTTTTAAGCTCAAAATGGCACCTCCAAAAAGCAACGTTTGGCGACATTTCTCAAAAATTCAGCAAATACTGCCACTTGCTGTTCTAAAATTCTAAAAACTGCTGGAAATACTACGAATGTATTGCTGCATCTTGATCACCTGCATAAAAATATTAATCCAACTAAGCCAGTGGACTCTAAAAAAGAACCTGCAGGTACAGGTACTGCCTCCAAAAGCAATTACTACGATGACGATGTATTACCAGGGCCATCCAGAGCAAGATCTCGATCTCCTTCGCCAGTAAGTTCAGAGCAAAGTTCATCTTCATCTTTCACAGTTGCCCCAAAGCGTCAAAAAACCATGACAGATTCGTTTGAATATACAGGGTTATCCAAATTAAGTGTCCACCATTAGTAACTTTGTTATTAGTGAAAATACAAAGTTGTTTGAATTAGCAAACTAGTAGCATTTTTAACGCTGGTAAAAATGAGAAATAAAAAAAACAATTGAGAGTCGTTATTTTGATTTTTTTCAGTAAAATAACATATTTTTAAATGGAAACCCCTGTATATTATATTTTTTTCTGTTAAAGCATCAAATTTTAAACAAAAAAGCTTACAATAACTTTTCTCCTAGGTTACAAATTGTTGAAGTTATGGTCTCCAATCTGAAACAATTAAATTGTATCGACAAACTTTATTTTCAACATCAACTTATAATCTTACAAAATACAATAACAATTTTTTTTAAAGAAGATGCTCGAAAACACCACCTTGTTCTTCAATACATTTTTGGGCACGTTTTTCAACTGCTCGAACTGTCTTAAGTATGGTCCTACCATCTATCTGGGTTATCTTTTCCCTAACTGCAGTCTTTAACGCGTCAAGGTTATCGTACCTTCGCTTGTAAATTTGGTTCTTTAAGTAACCCCACAAGAAGTAATCAAGTGGGTTTAGATCTGGTGATCTGGGAGGCCACTGTATTGGGCCATTTGTTCCTATCCACTGATCATTAAAAGTAGTACTTAGAAAATGATAAGTACCTCTGGAGTTGTGGGCAGGTGCGCCATCTTGCTGAAAATGCAGATGATGTCTACTTATAAGATCCAATTCGTCTAAGAAATTAGTCAGAATTTCTGACATAAATTCCACATATCTTTCACCAGTTAGGGTTCCCTCATAAAAGAACGGGCCAACAATTTTTGAACCAATTATACCGCACCAAACGTTGAAACTGTAACGGACTTGTGGGCCTCTTGGATGTACTAACAAAAGATTTTCTCTTGACCAATAATGGTGGTTTTTTCTATTAAACATTCCAGAATTTGAAAAATTTGATTCATCTGTCCATAAAAGGTAACGAAAGTTATTTACATTTTGGCGGCAGAAGCTAAGATACCAATGGCAAAAAACAAGTCTTCTCTCTGGATCCCCTGCCAAAAGCGTTTGAACTGGTCGGTACTTATACGGAATAAATTTGTATTTTTTTAAAATCCTTTGAACAGTACCATAACTGAAATTAGAGTCCTTGAGAATATCTGCTATTGAATTCTCACGATAAGCTTCAAAATATCCAATAACTGCAATTTCCGTGGCCTCGCTTATTATGAATTCCTTTTTTGCCCTTGTTTTAGCAAAAACATTTTCGTTGCCCCTAAATTTTCGATAAAGTCTCAGAAAATATCGTTCATACGGTTGAATGCGAGCGGGATATAATTCACTGTAGTGCTCTCAAGGAGGATTTTCTGCACACTAAATAGCATTCTAACATATCACACTTTTCTTCATGGGAGAACATTTTTCTTTAAATTAATGACACAATAAAGCTTATAAACAAGTATTTACACTAATGTTTGACATTATTTGATTTTATCATTGTTTTCCAAAGCCTTCTAGTTGCGAGTATGTCCAGTTTAACAATTTGTCGCTTATCTTTATGCTGTCAAATCGCGAACGCCATGTTGTTTTCATAGCCGTCTTAATATTATAATACTGCAAATAATTAAAAATATTTATCGTTATTTTGACTTTATTTTTGACTTTAGCGGAAAAGTCATTATGAACTTTTTTGTTTAAAATTTGATGCTTTAACAGAAAAAAATATAATATACAGGGGTTTCCATTTAAAAAAATGTTATTTTACTGAAAAAAATCAAAATAACGACTCTCAATTGTTTTTTTTTATTTCTCATTTTTACCAGCGTTAAAAATGCTACTAGTTTGCTAATTCAAACAACTTTGTATTTTCACTAATAACAAAGTTACTAATGGTGGACACTTAATTTGGATAACCCTGTATACGATCGTTTTCAGAAGGTGGCAATAAAAATCGTCAAATAAAGGAATCGATTTTATATATGATATGTAAAGATTTACAACCATTTTCTTTTTTTGAAAATGAAGGCTTCCTGAATTTGATGAAGGTAACTGTTCCTCAATTTAAAGTACCAAATAGAACTAGCTTTACTCGACTTTTGGACCTCAAATATGATTGTGTAGCTGCGAATGTTCGTGAAAAGTTGAGTAAAACAAAGAATATTACACGAACCACGGACGTGTGGACTGATACGATGCAGGCGCGAAGCTTTTTAGGCCTTACAGTACACTATTGCTCTGATAATGAAACAGAACTAGCATCAAGTACTTTGGGTGTAATCGAGCTTCAAGAACGACATACGGGACAATATTTAGCTGATGAATTAGTAAACATCTGCAGAATGTGGAATATAAAAAAGAAAATATTTCAGCAATCGTAACTGACAGCGGTGCCAACATATTAAAAGCAGTAGAGTTGGGGTTTGGAAAAAAATATAGTATTCCCTGTTTTGCACATTTAATTAATTTGGTTGCTGAAAAATCTGTTAGTGACGTTGCTAACTTGTCTACTCTGATATCAAAATTAAAAACGATTGTTACCTGGTTTAAAGCAAGCGTAGTGGCTAGCGACGAACTAAGAAAAGCAACTGGTACTGAAACAAAACTAATTCAAGAAGTTAGTACTAGGTGGAATTCTAAGTACTTTATGATAGAGCGTTTCTTGGAACTAAGACCAACCATAAATGAAATTATTAATCGACATAGATCAGCACCAAATATGATCAGTGCAAAAGAAGCTGAAGAACTAGAAGAGATTAAGCACTTATTGCGACCCTTGGAAGCGGCAACTAGAGAATTATGTGGGGAACATTATGTAACCAGCAGCAAAGTTATCCCAATGGTACACTGCCTTCTCGGTAAAATTAATGAAACGTCAGCTGTTTTAGAGATTGGTAAAGAATTAAAAAAAAGTTTGCTTAAACAGATGGAAAAGAGATTTGGAGATATTGAAAACGTAGAGATACTAGCAGTGTCCACATTACTGGATCCACGTTTTAAAAGACTTCATTTTAAGAACCCATTAGCTTGCGCAAATGCTGTTAATTTATTACAATGCCTTTACAAAGAAGAACTTAAGTTACAGATAGCTGTAGAACCTTACGTTGGCGATGTTGACGGAATTGACAATGTAGATGCAAATCCAGGTAAAACTAATACTTTTCAATAAAATGAAAGCTAATTTTTGCATCTATTTTTATTTTTTCAGGCAGTTCAAAAGAATTTAATTTGTGGAGCGGTCACCATACAATTGTTGAACGAACGAAATCGAAACAATTAGATGAATATTCTACAGATATTACATCAGAAGTCACTCAATACTTAAGGAGTCCAATTTCCAATTTTTCTGATAACCCGCTGTCTACTTGGAAAGCAATGTCTGGAACACATCCCATCCTAGCAAAATTGGCCCAGACATACTTATCGATTGTGGCAACCTCCGTACCTTCTGAACGTCTTTTCTCTAAGGCAGGGCAAACACTGACACAAACGAGAAATCGTCTGAAAGGAAAAAGACTTTCAAAGTTACTATTTTTAAATAGTGTTAATAAGAACTTTTGGAATGTGTAAATTAATTTGTTTTTATTTTATGTTGCAGTTCATTTTCCATATGGATTTAGGATTATATGTTTAGAGTAATCTGTAATCTAATGTATAACTATATTCCAAAAGTATATTTTTAAATAAAATGAGTCTCCTTTATAATAGACTTTTTACTTTAATATTTAATGACTAGTTTTTCCAAAAATGATTTGAATAATTATGATTATTTACTTTACTAATCAAAACTAGCAAAATTCGCTGATTCGATACATCGATTTTTTTGAAAATATCGATGTATCGGAAAGAACGATGTTTTCAATTTTCGATACATCATTTGATACCAGTATCGATGTTTTTTCAATTTTGGGCATCCCTACCGTCAGGCACTGGAGCTCTTCGTATGGCCCAGTGTTAAGGATGTTGAAGAGTGGTTGGTGACAATGAGTGGCCACCATCAAGTCCTGACTTGCCCCCTCCCAACTATTCTAACTTGTAACAACGCCCGATCATCTTTTTTATAATGACTGTAGACGTTACGTGAACGCCCGAAAGACTCAGTTTACCCAACATAGTAAATTATCGGCATTCCAAACAAAGTTATTCATAGTATACGTACTTTCACGCTGTCTGAATTATTAATGTTATTACTACCTTATATTAAATCAAAATAACAATCCTTTTGCAAGGAAAACGGTAAATAAAAGTCAAGGAAATGAAAATATTAGTCACGATTCCATTACGAACGTTGAACAAATCATGTGTTGCTGCTCATTTGAGGAGGATTTTGCAATAGGCTACATGCAACAGTTTTGTTCTTGTATTCATATACAGTAATGGACAAAAGTATATAGACAAATTAATATTGTGCTGTATTTATTTTTTAACTTGTGCCTGTATACATAATTCGTTATAGCATAATACTCACTTATACATAAATAAATTCATTAGACTCCCTTCAATAAAAAATTAATTGAAAAAACTATGAAGGACAAAAATATATACGTATAGACAAAGCAAAACAATTATAGAAAAAAGAAGCAAAGTTCATTGAATTATAGAAAACCAACCATGTTTGTGTTAATTTTTTGTAGCATAACCATTATTATCAATCACCGCCTGGCATCGTCTCGGCATAGATTGAAGAAGTTTCTTGTTATAAGATTCATCAATCTGTCTCCACTTTTGCTCTAAAGCGGCAAAAAGTCCATCCTTGTTTGAATAATTTTTATCTCGTATTTGCTTATCTAAGTATTCCCATAGATTTTCAATGGGGTTTATTTCGGGAGACTGTGAAGGCCATTTGAGAAATGGTATTTTTTCATCCAGAAAGAATTTCTTTGCGAGATCTTAAGTCTGCTTGTCATTATGTTGCTGAAAGATTGATATTAAGGGCATATTGTCTTCCATACAAGGTAACATGATATGCTTTAATATGTCTGTGTATACAAACTTATCCATAATGCGATCTATTCTATGTAAAGGTCCCATCCGAAACCCCGAAAAGCACCCCCAAACCTTAACATACCCGCCTCCATGTCTGACTGTGGGCAAAGTGTACTTGGGGTTCACTCTTTCTCCACTAGGACGTCAAACGTAATGAACACCATCTGATCCAAACATATTGAACTTGGATTCGTCACTGAAACATACCCTCTTCCGGTCACAGATGCTCCAGTCAAGATGCAACCGTGCAAATTGTAATCGGTTTTTCCTTGAGATTATTTAATATTCTACTTATATACTAAGTGACATATAAATCCGAACACCCAGTTTAAATGGTTTTATTTTAATAAAATTTTGTACAAGTACTTAATGAAGCATAATAAGTAAATGATAAAAATTTCAAAATTATTGCACTGCTTTAAAGCCCTTTGACCTTTAATAATGTGTGGATGCACCCTGATGTGCTACGCATTCTCCAACGCGCCTAGGCATGCTTCTGATCAGGTGATCAATGTCCTCCTGTGGTATCTCATTCCACGCAACTACCAACTCCTCTCGAAGTGCATCTAGAGTCTGAGGAGGACGTTGCAAATTGAGCAATCTCCTACCCATTATATCCCACACGTGCTCAATTGGGGATAAGTCGGGAGATCTTGGTGGCCATGGTAACAATGTGACATCATTATGTTGACAGAAGTCTATTGTGACTCTTGCAACATGTGGTCGGGCATTATCTTGTTGGAAAGTTGGATCTGCCAGGGTGTCAAGATAGGGTAAAAGATGGGGTTCTAGAACTTCGTGGATATAACGCTGCGCGTTCATGTTACCTCTGATGAAGATTAAAGGTGACCTGGAACCATAAGCTATAGCACCCCAAACCATAACTCCAACAGTGATATGAACATGTCTATCAACAAAAAACTGTGGATTCCTCCTTTCACCACGTCGCCTTCTAACCCTGACACCGACGTAATCGCCTTGAGTTGTGCAGACAACGGTCACTCTGGGATCAGGAATGGAACAGTATTGTCTTTAGTGACGAGTCTCGATTTTGTTTAGGCATGCACGATGGTCGTGCCAGGGTTAGAAGGCGACGTGGTGAAAGGAGGAATCCACAGTTTTTTGTTGAAAGACATGTTCATCACACTGTTGGAGTTATGGTTTGGAGTGCTATAGCTTATGGTTCCAGGTCACCTTTAATCTTCATCAGAGGTAACATGAACGCGCAGCGTTATATCCACGAAGTTCTAGAACCCCATCTGTCTTGACACCCTGGCAGATCCAACTTTCCAACAAGATAATGCCCGACCACATGTTGCAAGAGTCACAATAGACTTCTTTCAACATAATGATGTCACATTATTACCATGGCCACCAAGATCTCCCGACTTATCCCCAATTGAGCACGTGTGGGATATGATGGGTAGGAGATTGCTCAATTTGCAACGTCCTCCTCAGACTCTAGAAGCACTTCGAGAGGAGTTGGTGGTTGCCTGGAATGAGATACCACAGGAGGACATTGACCACCTGATCAGAAGCATGCCTAGGCGCGTTGGAGAATGCGTAGCACATCAGGGTGCATCCACACATTATTAAAGGTCAAAGGGCTTTAAAGCAGTGCAATCATTTTGAAATTTTTATCATTTACTTATTATGCTTCATTAAGTACTTATACAAAATTTTATTAAAATAAAACCATTTAAACTGGGTGTTCGGATTTATATGTCACTTAGTATAAATAAGATTTTTGCTGTTCTCTATTGTAATTTTTTCGAAGATTATTTCGATGGACTTACAAAGTGTGACAGTTGTAATCATTGTTGTTTTGTTTGCATAACCCAGATTTCGGCTACTTCAGACTGATATGATAATAATTATGATTAGATTGTCATAAACACCTGCGGATATAAGTGTGTATAACCACATACGTTTTCCGGGAATCAAATGTCAACTTTGGTGTTGGATTGTTCAGTTTTTGCATAATGATGAGTGCTAGCACGAGTACGAGGGCATAGATCTGATGAATCCATAACATTTTACTCCAAATGGCGGAATTTTTAATGATAAGAAATACTTTCGATGCACGTTACTGTTCTCTTGTCGCTCATTAAATATTTCTGCTGTTCTATTAGCGCAATGATTATTTCCGAAAAATATTTCGATAATTTCAACTCTTTCTGCTGTGGGATATACCATGGTTAATTTATGTAATAAAGCGTTACAAGTTATTTTAGCAACAAAGTTTGGTCAAATTAATCGAAAGCTATGTACTAAACTCCTATTTCAAATAAGTACGAGATATTTCCTTATTTATCTTTCTTCAAGAAATAACTTTTTTGCCACAAAAAAACGCCCCAATAGCTATTTTCAACAACAAAATGATAAACAAACCATGGGCGTACTGAAAAAAAGCATTTACTTATTAAGTAAATTCTTTTAGTCACTTTTCTTCTGAAAGTAGTACAAACTAATCTGATGTACCTATTAAAGTCTACTTTAAGCTTTAAATCAATAAATCTTCAAAACTACTGAACTGAAGCTCATGTATTTTACTTGATTATAAAGGGAATTGAAATACCTTTAAAATAAGGTATCACTCGACCCCCCTTTCAATTTAAGATTTTAGGGTTGGTGTCACCCCCGCCCAGGGGGTTGCACGTGTTAACGTGATTTTTTGCCAAACTTGTGTCTCCCTCGAAAACAAAATCGACAGGTCTGAGCGTTTTTCCAAAAAAAAACTTAGCTGCCAGTAAATGTGTCTGTTTCGTTTTCGATGCGCCACCCTGTATATAATACAGTACTCAAAATTGAGTTGCCTTAATTCGTTAGGAGAAATTGAAATTCTTTGGGATGAAGGCGATTTTTTTGCAAAAGGACACGTTTAACTTAAACTCAAGCTTTCGACGGCTTATGCCATCATCATCGGGAGGAAGTCGCCGCGATTGATGCTGAAATTATTCTTAGAAAGAAATGTATGATACCACACAGTCAACGAGTAAAAACTGGATTGCTGAGGTTAGATTAGGAAGAAAAAATGTTTTTAATCTGTAAAATTAATCATTAATAAAACCATAGCTATGCTTTTTTTCAACAAACCACTGACGGATTTAGACGAAATTTTGAGATTTATTAACTATTCAAAAACTTTCGAACGAACATTTTCACATGAAACCACTTCATCTTTAACGTATGCTAAAACCGACTGCTTCCGAAACAAAAAATATTTGCTAATTTTTTTATTTGCGACAAACCTTGTATATATAGTTTAGAAGTATTTCTGTCTTTGTGTTTAAAGGTAGTATTAAGAACACTGCAGTGTAATTATTTAAATCAATCAATCAATTGTATTTGATGTTAATTAAATAAAAATAAAATCAAACATACA